GCTGGGGGGGTTCACGCGCTGGGCTGTCAATTTACTACCTGTTAAACTCGACTGTCTGTCTACTGGCTGAGAGGCATGGATGACTGTCACCAGAGGCAGAATCATGCAGAGAGAAGCCGTCCTTGTGCTGTTGTTGCAGCTCACCATCAGGGCGGGCGGCAGAACATGCAAGGCATCAACTGAACATGTTCGCTATGAGACTCAGTGTTGGAGCGGTGCAAAGCGATGCTGACTGGATGGCAGGGCCTGGCACTCCAATGCTGAGCTTGGCGACATGTCTTCTGTCTCGACGCGAGCGGAGTTCGAGGCAGCCAGCAGGCGCATGTGGGCTGAAACTGCTCTCGTGAGCCCAGGGATCTTCTTCGTCAGAGCTGTCCGCGAGCTGGGATTCGGGCACATCGCTGTCGGACGTTTCGCCAGCACTGGTGGACAAATCTGCAGGGTCATTGCCCTGAAAACCTTGAGTAAGCGTTTGAAAAGAGTCTGCCTGTTAGCCTCTGTCTTGAGACGGGCTTCCTGTCTGGCTGCTCTGGCACGGCTGGCCTTGGAGCCAGGGGCGGCAACTCTAGGGGGCTTGTTGGCGGCGGGGAGCCGCCTAGGCAGGCCGAGAACTCTAGTCAGGAGCTGGTCTCCTGTTTGAACGAGCCGAATTCGCAAACCTATGTGAGGCTTCCACGGTATGTCATGCACAGCGGAAACGTCGACCAGGTACGGGCGGGCAGCAGCGCTATGAACAACGAAATCCAAATGCGATGGCTTACGTCCGCCGCCAGGGTCGTACGTGTATTCCACAGGGGCGCAAAGGATCTCCCCTTGGACCTGCTGGAGAAAGCCTGTCCTACTGAGAGCTTCGGGGCTGAGGTTCCAGTCCCCGACGACAAAACCATGGGAGCTGGAGGGGCCTGAGGAGGCTCCCGAGACGCCTAAAGCGGGCGACATTGGGCCCTCTCAGGCCTATGCTACAGAAAGCGTAAAAGAAACAGCCACAATGGAGTACCCCTTGAGGTGAATCACCACGGGGAGGAAACCGTCGAGGCTGCTGGAGGTGGGAAGACACACTGGCCTGGAGGCGCTCTAAGAGGGGATGGGCGCGGAGGTGCCCTCTGGGGAGAAACCACTCTCCTCCCTCATTGGCATGCTCAGGAGCGACTGTGCCTCACTGGTGGAATGGTGTAGCCTCCCAACTTCCTGATCAACCTGAGGAGGTCTCGCAGGGTTGGCGAAGAGCCGACGATTGATATCTCGATATCGTGCCTTCCACTTGCCAACGCTGCCGTCGCTGATGTGTGTCTCCACAAAAGCCACGAAGTCGTCCGTAGATGTCCTGACCCAGTCGAACGTCTTCTGGCCTGCACATGTGATGTTCCCAAAGAACAAAGTAGAGGATGTACTTGTACTGGTAGTGGCTGCCACGGCGTCGTGAGCGGCAGGGACGCTCGCCGTTCCCGCAGCTGAAAGTGACCCTGCTGTGCCTAGTCACTCGGAGTGAGCTCGACCGTTGCGCCTGCCCTTGCCCTTGGCGCTGGCCTTGGCGGCAGGATCTGCGGCAGCTCCTCCTGGTCGAGTGGCGTCGGCGGCAGCGGCCTGGGCTGCGAACCGAGCGGCCGAGAGCTTGGCGGCCTCGGCAGCCAGCTGCTGGTCGGCGTCCTTGGTAGGCGCGGCCTCGGCGGGGCTGGCGCTCACGCCGCCATCGGCTGAGCTGCCTTCGGCGCCGGCCACGCCACTGGAGCCCCGTGGCGGGGTGGCTGCCTCGTCGGCCTGCCCAGGAGTGCCGCCGTTGGTCTGGCCGTCAGCCCCCTTGCGCTTCTTGGCGTACCTGGCCTCCTGGGCGCTGCGGACCTTGCGAGGCCTCTCGATGAGGCTCGTGACCTGCGGTCCTTTGGTAGCGAACTGCTGCTGGAGGTCCTCCAGCCCTTTCTTGATGGCGTCGAGCTCCGCCTGCTCGGCTTCGGTGAAGTCGAGCTCGTCGATCTGCTTGAAGAGGTCGGGGTCCCACTTGACCGTGAAGGGCTCCTGAGGCCCGTCGCCCTGGGCACCATGGGAAGTCGGGTCGCAGCGGCCGACTCCCTCTGCCCTGGCGAGAGCCTCCGCCGCGCGCCTCTTGGCCTGCTCTGTGCGAGCGACCTCGAGCGCGGCGGCTTGCTCCTTGCTCTCTGCAGCCTCGAGCGCCTTGCGGAGCCTGATGACATTGCTGACGACCTGATTGTGATGGTTCGTGGCTGCCCGCCACGCGCCGTCGGCCTTCCTGATCGCCTCGACCTCGCTCCCTGGACCTCGACGGCGTCGGAAGCGCCCAGCCGCTGCACCTGGGCGTGGAGGACCGCCTGCATGGCTGGGTCGGTGGCGATGGCCATGGCCTGCCGCAAGTGAGCGGCCAGCTCGGCGTTGGAGGTCGTGTGCGGCTTGGCGCCGCCTGCCTGGGCACCGCCCTCGATGTTCGCAGCCTGGTCGGGGACCTCGATGACCTCCTCGGGCCCGAAGCGGACGACGCTGGGGCTGCGTGAACGAGAGCGGTGCAACTTCATGGGCCTGTGGCACCTGGGGCAGACTGGATGAGTGGGGCTGAGGCGGTCGTTGTACTCGCATGCGTTGCACCCTTTGCATCGACTCCAGAGGCGGGTGGATCCCACCACTTGGCGCCAGGGTGCGCCCTCAGCTGCGGGAAGGTGGCGCGCATGGCGCCCCATGATGTCCCAGCGTTAGTCAACCGTAAAACCTGAACACGGATGGACAGGGGCACGGAAGTCCCTCAAGCACCTCGTGGAGGTCCTGGGACAGCCCTGGGGAAAAGGGCCAGGGCCGAAAAGGCTTGAAAGAGGAGGAGGAGGAGGAGGAGGAGGAGGAGGAGGAGGAGGAGGAGGAGGAGGAGGAGGAGGAGGAGGAGGCGGAGGCGGAGGCGGAGGCGGAGGAGGAGGAGGAGGAGGAGGCGGAGGTGGAGGTGGAGGCGGAGGAGGAGGAGGAGGACGAGGAGGAAGAGGAGGAGACCCTGGAGACTTTGCCTGATCGCGTAGCGATATGAATTCAAGAAATCCGCCCGCACCTATTGTGGTGCTTGTAGCTTCCTGCTCCTCTGGAGGGTCTCAGCCTTGCTGAGCACTTTGGGCCAGAGTCCTTGCTCGATACGACGTAAATATTCCCGCCCCGTGGTGGTTGGGGTGTCACATGTGTCGGCCAGCTTGTTGGGAAGCGTACACTCCACACGTGCCACAGAACCAAATCTCCAGCCCAGCGTGGAACTTAGCATGATGGGTTATGTGGATCAGCCCCCCCCCCCCGCGACATGTACCTGCTTACCCAGGGGGGTCTCATATATTTGTCATCGATGCTTATTAAGCTGAAACGCGCTGTATCATACCATTGCTTGCGTTTTGCAACAGTGGTGGACCCCCTACATACTTTACAACGACGTCCTGCGTCGTCCAGCTGGTGGGAGGAACTGAAAGCGGCACACATGGCAGGCGCAGGGGCTCTGGGCAACCTTGGCCCGTCGAGGACTCGGGGCCTCCCCAGACTGCCTGCGCAGATACAAGAAGGTGCGCTCAAACTCCAATGCCTCAAGCGTGGATCTCGGAAGTCTCATGCGGACCAGGAAGGCCTTACAATCGACTAAATGGATCTGTGCTCCTCGGCGGCTACCGCCGCAAGCTCATCTGCTGCTCGGTTCCCACAGACCAGCGATCGAGGCGCTCGTCCTGCGACGATGTCCTCTGCGGTCGGGTGGGACCGAGCTTAGCAGCACGACGAAACTGGCCTGGCGCCCTGCAGGCTGGGCCCCGACCTCGTGCCACAGGTCTGCGTCCTCGCCTGCGGGGCGCTGGGGGTGGCCACTGTGGAAGTTGACGTGGGCCCCCTCGCAGTCGGTGGTGTAGACGGCCCCCCCGCGCGTGGCCTGCAGCGCCAGCGGCAGAGCCCGCAGCTCGCCCCGCACGGCCGTCCGGCGCCCGCCTGCGAGAGGGGCCCCGCGCTGCACGCTGGAGCTCCACCCCGTTGCGGTGGAGGTCCCTGAGACTGGCGATGCTGACTCCCACCCGCCGCTTCGCGGGGGGGGGCCGTGTCGGCTCCGCCGCTGGCGTCGCCGAAGATGCAGACAGGCTGGTGTGGCCAGCCCGTGCCGAAGCAGCCCGTGCGGGAGCCGTCGAGGTCCGTGCCGTGCACGGTCCACGCTTCTCGGGCTGCTGGCGGTGGGGCCGACGTCCAGTCCTGCGGGACGAGCCCCCTTGTCCAGAAGCACTCGTGCATGTCCTGCTGTGCCGTGGCCTCGGCGACCATGCCGTCAGTGGCGTCGTACGCGGGGCATGGCGAGGAGGAGGAGGAGGAGGAGCGCGGATGAGAAGGAGGAGGAGGAGGAGGAGGAGGAGGAGGAGGAGGAGGAGCGCGGAGGAGGGGCGCGGGGACAGAAGAGCAGCGCGCGTCGCGCCTCGCGCGGCGCGGCGCGCGAGCCCGGGTGACCCGCCGCGGGCGCAGGGCTCCGGGTCGATCAGCCCGCTGTGGGCATCGATCCCAGCGGGCTTCTCGGGTTCGAGTCCGAGGCCCTGGCGGTCCCATGCGTCACCACCCACCAAACCACCCCAACCCAGCCCGAAGGCCTCAATTTGCTTTCCATTTCCAGTGGGGGGGGTCCGGGAACGTCGAGAAAACACATATGGAAACCGTACCCCCCCCCACCCGAAAGTCGGGTCTTCGGGTTGGGTTGGGGTGGTCTGGTAGGTAGTCAATGCGGTCCCCCCGTGCCCGCGTGGTGTGCTTCATGGCGCGGCTTACAGTCGGTGCGCATCGGCAGGTCGACCCTGCAAAATCAGGGGTACGCTTGTGTCCTGTCTATCCCTCTGCATGTCCTCTGCGTGTTCGGACTGAGAGTGCCCCTGTGCCCCGTGGTTGTTGGAGGCCATGTGGCCGTCGGACGAGTCGCGTGTCCTGTCGCGTGTCCTCTCGCATGTGCTCCGACCGTATCCGATCCGATCTCGACTCCGTGCCGATGTAGCCCGATCCGACGCGTCTGCCGATCCATTTGCCGCTCGCCTCCCCCGCCTGCCGCCCGTGCCCGCCTGGGCCCGCGCCCCGGCCGGCCATCTGAATTCGCGCGGCTCACAGGCAGCCGCTCTGCACGACGCCTCGCAGGCTGCGGGCGCCAAGGAAGTGCGCCTCCGGAGACTCCGTCAGCGCCAGCGCTGGAGACTAGCTGCCAAGCAGGCGGCCCGCACATCGTGCGCACTCCCTTTCCTGCCCCTCCCACCTTCTCCCTCGCCCGCTCCCCGCTCTCCTCCTCCCCCTCGTTCCCTCTGCCCCCTTCCTTACCCTCCCGTCCCCTTCTCCCACTCCCCCTATCCTCACCCACCTCTCCCTTCCTCACCCTCCCCTCCTCTTCCCCACACTTTCGTCCCCCTCCCCCCTCTTCACAAGTACACATTCTGCACACTACTCTCCTCTCCCCTGCGCCTGTCTGGAAGATAGCCGCCCCTCTCCGTGTATCATTCCTGCCACACAGCAGGATGCTATGCTTAGCTAAGTCGACCCTATAGTTCCCCGTATTTCAGCAAAACGGTGTTCCCGTTGCAGCGTGGGCCTCGTTTTTGAATCGGCGCTGCCTACTTTTCTGGTTCCGAGTCCTTGTTCGTCGTTGTCGCCCCCCTCGTGTCTTCTCCCCCGCCTACCCCTGGTCCTCCTGCTTCCCCCGCTCCTTCCACTCCAGCTCTTGCCGCTGCTCTTCGTCCTCATCCTCCTCCTTCCTCCTCCTCCTCCTCCTCATCCTTTTCTTCCTGCTCATCCTCCTGCTCATCCGCCACCTCCTCCTCCAATGTACGCAGCTCCCTTGTTCGACGATTGCGCATGACACGATGTGGTCCCCTTTGGAGTTCCAGGACTGCTATGGCATGCGTCGGCGCACAGAGGAACGACAGCGCAATGGGAAGGGATGGGTGTGAGGGGCAGGATGTCCGATATGTCGCGAGAGCACCTAGCTTGCATCCTGCTTCTCTTATCCCTCCCACCCCCTTCCTCCCCGCCCCCTCCTTCTCTCGCCCTTCTCCATTCCCTCTCCTCTTCCCCCCCGCCCATTCCCCCCCTCTCTCTCCCTGGCCCCCCCCTCTATCCTCTCTTCCCCCCCTCCCCACTCTCTCTTTCAGCCGTCCTCCCTCCTGCTGTTTCCCCCTCCCCTTTTCTTCCCTCCCCACCCCTCTACCCTCTCCTCCTCCTTCACTCTTTGTTTCCCCATGCGGAGAAAGATGATGATGAGGAGGAGGAGGAGGCGGAGGAGGAGGAGAAGGAGGAGGAGGATGATGATGAGGAGGAGGAAGATGCGGTGTTAGAGTGGTCGCCCCAGTGCCTGGTGGAGTGTAGTACAGCAGTAGTTAATCGGTTAGCCAGCGTGGGCCCCAAAGAGTTTGTTATTTGCACTGCGGAGGTGGACGCTATGTGGTGTAAGCCATGCGTTGAACGCCATGCCGTGTAAGACATGTGTGGTGTAAGCTGTGTAGTGTGAGCTATACGGGATATGCCATGTGTTGAAAGCTAGGTCGTGCAAGCTATGTGGTGTTAGCTATGGAGTCGCAGCCTATTCGGTGCAGGCCACGTGGCGTAAGCTATGTCGTGCGAGCTCTGCGGCGTGAGCGCTCTTGGGGCCGTCTTTGGGCTCTCTCTTGGGCCTCTCTTGCGTCTTGGGGACCTCTTGGCGGTCCCCTGGCCTCTTGGGACGTCTCGGGGAGCCAGCCTCTCGGGGCCTCTTGGGGACCTCTTGGCGGTCCCCGGGCCTCTTGGAACGTCTCGGGGAGCCAGCCTCTTGGGGCCTCTTGGGGGTCTCTTGGGAGCTTCTTGGAGGCCTCTTAGGCGCCTCTTGGGGCCTCCTGGGCGCCTCTGGGGCTTTCTTGAGGCGCTCTTGGGAGCCTCGGGGGCGCTCTGGGGCCATCTTGGAGGACATCGATCAAACAAGAGGGGAGACTGAATTAGCGTAGCCCCTTGGGAGCCCCCAACGTCGCGTCTCGGGGCGCTCTTGGGGCGCTCTTGGAGCGCTCTTGGAGCGCTCTTGGGGCCGTCTTGGGGCTCTCTTGACCCTCTCTTGGGCCCTCTTGGCCCATCTTGGAGCCATCTTGAGGCTTCGGATGGCCATCGGAAGCGAAAAGGAGAGATAGCGAACAGTATAGATGTTTCCAAGATTTGGGAAGGATTTTGTCCTCTTCGGGGCCTCCTGGGGGAGCTCTTTGGCCACTTGGAGCCGTCTGGGAGCGGTTTTTGGGCCTCTTGGAGCGTCTTGGGAGCAATCTTGAGGCATCTTGGGATATCTTGAGCCATCTTGGAGGTCATCTTGGGCTCTCCCAGGCGCTCTTGGATCCGTCTTAATCAGTGCCCCCCCCCCCTGGGGCCAACATGTGGCCAAAACCTTAGTACAATCAATGATTTTGGCATTCTCGCCGAGGCCTCTTGGGGCGTCTTGGGTGCCTCTGGGGGGCCTCTTGGGGCTTCTTGGGGGTCTCTTGGAAACCTCCTGGGGGTATCCTGGGGGCCTCTTGGGGGCCTCTTGGGGCCTCCTGGCACCTCTTGGAGCTCTCTTGGAGCGCCCTTGGGAACCTTGGGGACCATCTTTGGGCTATCTGGGAGAAAATCGATCAAACAAGAGGGGAGCTTTAATGAGCGGCCCCCCCAAGATGCCAAAATGGGCCCAAACCTTAGTAACACCAATGATTTGGGCTTCCTCGCCGAGGCTGTTTCGGACGCTCTGACATCTCGCGGCGGGCCCCGTCCAGGTCCAGGGGAGGGGGTAGTGGGAGGGGTAAACCTCTCCCCGAAGGGGAAGAGGGGCAGATGGACGACAACGCACCCTAGACCACCTACACCCTAAAGGGCTTGTGGGATTACTTGAGACAGTTACGTAATCCCGAAGCGCATGCACAGTTGGGGGACTACTGGCCGCAGCAATGATGACCGCTGCTGTTTGGCTCAGCATATGTACTGTGGCAGCGCTCCTGGTGATCTGCAATACAAGCACATCAGATCGTCCAAAGTACAGTGCAACCTACCCTGGAGTTTGCACGTGGAAGTGGAGGAGAGACGAGGATGAGGGGGAGGAGGAGGACAGACGTGTGCTCCGCGCAGAGAAGGAAGAGGAATCCCGCCTTACGCATCGCTCCGACCAACCAGCCACTCGCTACCTGACTGTAGGCGGTAGCGGTGCTCGTTCGGAGAGAGGGTACACAGATAGAGAGATATTGAGACAACAGTGGTGTTGCCGAGCAATTGGTAATGGGGAGACGGAAGAGGGGGTAGGAAGGTGATGATGATGTTGTTGATTATGACGGTGATGATGGCGCTGATGATAATGCGGATGTTGATGCTGATGCTGATGTTGCTGCTGATGCTGATTATGCTGATGATGATGATTGTGGTGGTGATGGTGATGGTAATGGTACTGATGATGCTACTGATGCTGATGATGTTGATGATGCTAGTGCTGGTTGTGGTGGTGTTGAGGGTGGTGGTGAGGAGTATGTTGTTGTTGTTATGGAACATGCAGCTGCCAACGATGGTGATGCTGGTGATGGTGCTGATGATGTTAATGATGATGCTGATGCCGATGCTGATGCTGATGGTGATGAGGAGGTGGAGGAGGAGGTGGAGGAGGCTGCTGCTGCTGATGATGCTGATGATGCTGCTGCTGATGATGATGGCGATGATGATGATGATGCTGATGATGATGACGCTGATGCTGCTGATGATGATGATGCTGATGATGATGCTGATGTTGCTGCTGCTGATGATGATGGCGATGTTGATTATGATGCTGCTGATGATGATGATGATGCTGATGCTGGTGCGGATGATGATGATGATGATGATGATGCTGATGATGATGATGATGATGCTGATGCTGCTGCTGATGATGATGACGATGATGATGTTGCTGCTGCTAATGATGATGGCGATGATGATGCTGATGCTGCTGATGCTGATGCTGATTATGAGGATGATGATGATAATGATGTGATGATGCTGATGCTGATGATGCTGATGATGCTGCTGATGATGATGATGACGATGATGGTGATGATGGTGATGATGATGATGATGATGATGATGATGATGGTGGCGGTGGTGATGATGATGATGATGATGACGATGCTGATCATCATGATGATGGTGGCGTCGCCTGTCGTTCGAGCCGTCCGTTCCTTCTCTCTCTCTCTCTCCCCTGTGCATGGGCGTTGATGTTGTACATCTCTCTCTTTATATATATATATATATATATATATATATGTATATACAAATTTATGTACAACGCATGCGTGCATTATTCGTGTGTATATATGCGCGGGAGAGGCAGCAACGGCAGCAGGAGAAACAGGCCTGCTGTGCCCTGGGGGAGCGGGGGCAGCAAACCAGATCGCCCCGCTGCCTTCGCAGCTGTCTTGGCTTTCCGGCCGCGGTCCCCACCCCGCGGGCTCGGTGCAGGGGTGGGTTTCGAGTGTAGAGGGGGGGCGGTTAGAGGGAAGAGAGAAGAGGAAGGAGGAGGAGGAGGAGGAGGAGGAGGAGGAGGAGGAGGAGGAGGAGGAGGAGGGGGAGGATGCGGAGGAGGAGGGGGAGGAGGCAGCGGAGGAGGAGGAGGAGGAGGAGTTCTTCTCCAAGCAGTGCTTGCGCATACGAAGGGGCTCCCATTGAGCTTACGTAAGGGGCTGGGTAGGGGTTCCCGTTTTTTCCCCCGTGGCGGGCACGTGCCGCCTTGTGGGCGCCCGGTGGCTGCCCCACGCTGGGGGGTTCTCTCTCTCTCTCTCGGGTTTTCGACACGTTGCGGGCCCGTGCCGCCTCGTGGGCGTCTCATGTGCGCACTGCGCTTGGGGGGCACGCGGGTTTCCTGGCGCGCAGCTGGCACCACATAGGTACCGCCGCACAGTTTACGCGACACAGCTTGCACCACGCAGATTGCATCTTGCTCGGGTGATGGGATGGACATGTCGGGGGTTCGGCTGGTGCCTGGTTGCTCGGCGCCCGTGGGCGCCTTGTGGGCACCCCGCGCTGGGGCGGCATCTTGAGGTTCCGCCTGGTGCCCGCCCGTGGGCGCCTCGTGGGCGCCCCGCGCCGGGGGGTACGTCGAGGCTTCGCCCAGTGACAATCTGGTGGCGCCCGGCCGGCGCCCCGCGGGGGGGGGGTATGCCAATGTGTCGCATGGTGCGCGCCCGTGGATGCCTCGTGGGCGCCAAGTGCCCTGGGTGGGTCACATAGCTTACACCACAGCTTACACCGCAGAGCTGACGCCGCATAGCTTGCACCGCATAGCTTGCAAAACATAGCTCACCTCACATTGGTCACATCGCATAGCTTACACAACATAGCTCGCATCGCACAGCTTACACATAGCTTACACGATGCAGTTCACACCACCTATCTTATACAACGTAGCAGAACCCACAGCTTACTCAGCGTCCCTTTTACCTCCACAGTGCAAAGAGTCACTGATTGGGTGCCACGCAGGCTAATCTAGGTACATATTGTATGCTAGACGAAGAGGAGGGGTGGGGGAGCAGGAGGAGGAACACATAGGACGAGGAGGGGAAGATGCTGGGGAACGAGGAAGGGGACGAATGGAGCAGGAATGGGAGGAGGAGGAGGAGGAGGAGGAGCAGGAGCAGGAGGAGGAGGAGGACCAGAAGGTGGTCGAAGGTTCCCAGGAAGTGGTCGTTTTTTTTCGTGGCCACTGGAGGTCTTAGAGACCTCGTCCTCCCCAGGTCCCCTAGCCTGGCGTCTCGAGCAAATCACGTCCTGCCGTTTCTGCGACTGTGTTGGCGAAGGGGCTCGTGGACATCCGTTGTGCCCGGCCCTTCTTTCAGCGGACAGCACTGCAAAAGCAGAGAGGTGGGAAGCTACGGCCACGAACCCCCCCCTGGAGTGTTCCCAGGCAGGATGACGGGAAGCTCCCATACGGGATCAAGCACTTCCGGGGGACCCGACCTCCCAGTTTTCTGGGAGGCGGTTGACATGTGTAAATCCCCGCTTCGCGCAGACAGACCTGCCGTGGAGACCGCGGGACTGGGGGTGGAGGGGGGCGAGGAAGACGCAGGAAAGCACGGGACGCAGTGGTGGCCACTAAACCAACGCAGGTCAGTGAACGGATTGCTTGCGTCGCGCTGGTCCCAGCCAGGCTGCGGGGCGGGCGGAGAGTCCAACGAGTCACACCGAAAGGTCGGCCAGGCCCAGCCACGACTTGGCACCGCCCGTGGCATCTTCGCCCTCGTCAGCGGGGACGTCGGCCAGGGAGCGGGGTGAGAATTGGGGCGTGGCACTCGTGCCAGGCAGGCGGGGGCGCCTCGGCAGGAAAGCGAGTCCCGGGAATGCCCGCTGTCACCAACAGCTGACCAGACTTGAAGCACAAGACGCTGCATCGACGCCACTTTTCGGATGTGCGCGCAAATCCCACCAGCCCTCTGGGCGTAGGTGGGTTAGGGAGTTTCCTCTTCCACCCCTCCTTCTTCCCCTTCGGGGAGGGGCTTCCCCCCCCCTACCCCCTCCCCTGGACCTGGACGGGGTTCCGCGAGTCGTCGGAGAGTCCAAAACGGCCTCGGCGAGTAAGCCAAGCTTATTGGTTTTACTAGGGTTTTGGCCCCATTTTGGCCTCCTGAGGGGGGAGGAGAGTCAGCGCCGACCCCAGCAGTCTGCGCGGACTTTCGGCCGCACCTGTAACCATGGGGGGGTCCGGCAGCGTGGGCGGCGCAGCTGGGCGGCCACCGCCACAGAGGGGGCTGCCAACCGGGCCTCCGGGCCTCCAGGCACCAGGCCTGGGGCCTCGTTGGGGAGACTCGGGCGGGTGGGAGTCGTGGGGTGATGGGCTTGTTTTCCAACACCACCACCACCATGAGTTGGAGGGGGAAGGAGGTGGAGGACGAGAAGGAGGAGGACCAAGAGGAGTGTCATGAGTGTCATAGATCCAAGCAGTGAACGGCGAGCGAGGCTCAACCGTCACCCTCGGCCTCCCAGACAGGAGGAAGGGGCCCGCGGACGCCAGCACCGACGGTCAGAGGAAAGGCAGATACTTCGTCGCTCAACGACTCGCTGCCCAACCGAAACGGCGTGGTGCGTAAAGGGACAGCCGGTTCACCGCGTCACCGCGCAGTATTTCCCGACCGTCACCCCAGCCGAATCGGATGGCATGTGCATTTGGGTTTGTACCCCAGGGTGAGCGGACACAAGGTCCCAGAGGACTTACGGACCACATGGCCCCGCCTCTCAACCAAATGCACACTCCCCGTGCCTGATACCCATCTCCAGGTCACGGGCGCAGCTAACGCGCCGCTGCCACGGGCAAAGTGCCACGTGGCTGGTGCAAGAACGACGAACGCCAGTTTATCTGCCCCCGGCCGCCGCATGCAATTGACGCTGACAGTGTGCCCCGAGGAGTGTGTGGCGCTGACACCATGAAAACGGGTGCCAGGCCCCCACCCTCCGGGCGAGGAGGACCAAGAGGAGGAGGAGGAGGAGGAGGAGGAGGAGGAGGAGGAGGAGGAGAAGGAGGAGGAGGAGGAGGAGGAGGAGGAGGAAGAGGAGGAGGAGGAGGAGGAGGAGGAGGAGGAGGAGGACCCCCTGCCCTTCAACTTATGGTGGTGGTGGTGGTGGTGGTGGTGGAAAACATGCCCATCATTGGGTGATCCACATGGGGGGTGAAGAAACGAGCCCTAAAGAGGCCCCTTTTCTTCACCCCCAATGTGGGTCACCCTCCCAGTGCCACCCGCCCGAGGGAGCAAGCAGAGAAGCACCGTCCAGCTGGCGGGGCGGCCTGGGGAGCACACTCCCCCTCGCGGGCCGCCGAAGGGAAGCGAGGCGGGCGCCAGAGAGGGTGTTGGCGTGGCCAGCGTGCGCGGCTGCGTCGTGTGGCCCTGTGACAGGTGCGCTGCTGTGCACCACTCTGCGGCCGCTCGCGAGCCTCCTCAGCATCGTTGAACCTCGGCCCAGCTCCACCGGGCCATGGTATTTCAGCCGCTCCATCACACGCCCTAGTTGGGGATGCACCCCTCGAAACCCAAAGGGGGCAGTCGATATGTCCCCATCGAGGGGGGTAAGTCGGCCTCTGGGGCCCAGGCCACGCTTGTGGGGATAGGGATCGGTTACACGATGCTCAGAACCCTACCCACCCGGGTGCGGTCAGTGCTGGGTTGTCGGAGGCCCCCGATGGGGTTCCCTTGGCTGCAGGCCCCCATCGATCTCTGAACCCCAGCTGGCGTTTCAGAGATCTCACCTGCTGGGGTAGGGTTCGCCTGTGGTTGCCTGACTGCGGGGGCTGGACTTTCTAAGAGCGTCTCGGCAACTGCTGCCCGCGGACTTGGCAGCGGGCTTGGCAATGAGCTGCGGACTGGCGCTGCGGCAGGCCTGACGGTGCGGTGATCTCCTGGCCCTTCGCTGCTGGCTATCACGCAGCGGGGGCACTGCAGAGAGCTGTGGAGCGTCATTGGGCGCGGGTGCTGCCTCAGGCGGCCTTTGCGTCGTCGCCTGGGGGGAGGCCGCAAGAGGCCACCGCGGCATGCGGCACTGCGGGGCCTTAGCTTCAGCCTCTGAACTCCAGGCCGCTTGCTGGTTGGAACTTGTGGCGTGGCATTGGCTGGTGTGTGGAAGCACTGTCCGAGGCTGGCAGATTCTTTGGTTCCGCGCTCGGCTACGTAGCTTCAGCACTTGCCGGCGAGTGTAAGCCACAGAAGGCGGATCTTGCGACAAGACGCCTGTAACCCAATACAGCACGTGCGCTGCGTTGTGTAATGTCCAAAACCTGTGTAAAAAGCTGATGCCCCCCTCCCCTCCCCCCCTGGATCCCGACTGCCATACATTCGCTGCCGAATGATCGTTTGTTTTAGTTGCCCCCCTTGGAGAACATCCCACGGAGACCAGAACGATGCGATTGATATATGATTCCGGGCTCCGGGCTCAGGGCCCCCCCCTCCTTCCCAAGATGGGATGGGTCTCAGGGTCCGTCGGTCCCCCCCCAGATTGGATGGGGATGGGGGACGACGACGACGACGACGACGACGACGACGACGACGACGACGACGACCGCTCAGGCTCCCTGAAGCACTCCCTGAGGGAGGCGACGTCGGGCAAGACACCGTCGCGACGATGCTGCCTCTCCTCCTCGCTCCGTCCCCCTCATCCCTCCCTCCTCGTTCCTTGGCCCTCCCTTCCCCACCTTGCTCCCTTCTCTCACTGCCTCTCCTCCTCTTCCTCCTCCTCCTCCTCCTTCTCCTCCTCCTCCTCCATGATGGGGGGGAGGGGGGGGGGGGGGGCGAACCCCATACCGACCATCGCACGCCCGCAGGGGAAAACCCCACCACGCCACGCCCACAGGGGGGGTGGGGCATCGCGCGGGGCGGTGGGTGGCCGATGGCATCAGCACGAGGGGGGGGGGCTGGACCATGGATCATATATATATATATATGCACATATGAATGTATATATATATATATATATATATGTATATATACACTTCTATATATGTATATATATATATATACACGGTGGGGGACAGGGCGATGGCTCCCAGGGCGGCCCCTTGACGCGTTATGGGGGGCCGGGGGCCCCGGGAGCGGGCTGGGATCGCGTCAGGAGGCCGAAGACGCCCCCAGAAGGCGCCAAGAGAGCCTCAAGAGCGGTCTAAGAGGCCTCCAAGACAGCCCTAGAGCGCTCTAAGCCGCCCAAGACGGCCTCAAGATGGCGGTCGTGGGGACGTCCCTGGCGGCCCGGTTTGCCCCGCTTTTTTTTTGTTGTTTTCTATATGCGCACTACAGCGCTAGGAACAACTATTTTTCAAACTGTCCCCCCAGATCGTTTTTGGAAATGGCGGAAAGGCATTATTGCTGCGCATGGCATCTTGCGAGGAGGACGGGGAAGGGAGGAAGGAGGGAGGAGGAGAAGGGTGTCTTGGCGCCAGCTTGGTGCCAGACATTCCAGCTGGATGCCCGCCCCAACCATTCGGGTGTTGCCACAGGTGTCCGTGGCCCAAGGTGCCCCCAGAGTCTCCAGGGAGGCTCCCAAGGCTTCAAAGGGCACCGCTTACGAGGCTCTCAGGGGCCCTGGAGCCCCCGAGTGGCGCGAAGAGCTTGGGGCACCGTTGGCGCCATGCGCGCACCGCTGGCGACCCCCGAGCCGTGACGCTGCTGCGCCTGGACCCCGAGGACCGCCTGTCTTTCCGCAGGGCCCCGGACAGCAGGGAGCACAGCAGGACCCTGAGGCTCACCAACCGGAGCGGGGGCCACGTCGCCTACAAGGTGAAGACGACAGCCCCGGAGGCCGCACGCCTCGTCCTCCCTCGCTCCTCGTGCTTCTCCTCCTCCTCCTCCTCCTTTTCTGACGTCGAGCGGACGTTAATCCTCAGACTGTAGGTTCTGCCCTCCTGGTCCTCCTCCTCCTGCTCCTTCTCCTCCTGCTCCTCCTCCTCCTCTTCCTTCTGCATGACCTCCTTCCCTCGTTCCCAGATCGGAGGAGTAAGCGGCACCGATGCCGCCGCCCCGCGACCCTTCCCTTGTCGCCACGGTTGGGTTAGCCTCGGAAGTTTGTCCAGAGCGCACCCTGCGAGAGGTCCACGGAGCAGCGGTATTGGTATCTTGTTGTTTCCTCAATCTAGGCCTCCTAGGAGGGGTCCGAGCAGATGGGGTCGGAGGATCGCGCCGCATCGCCGATGCATCGGCGATGCGGCTCGATGCGGAGTCTCCGATTCACTCCACGCCGACGTCGCCGATGCATCGCCGCCGCCGCCGGTGCATTGCCGATGCATTGGCGATGCGGCGCGATCCTCCGACCACATCTGCTCGGACCCCATCTGGGAGGCCTCAACTCAAGGCATCCTCCCCAGACCTCCCGTGCCGTAACAAAAAAGTATCGGAGGGAGATCCGCGCCGAGAGAAACTACGACGTCGGAGGTCCGCTCCTTTTCCGCGCCTGGCGGAAAAGGGTCCCTCGTCGGAGCTCGGGAGGTCCGCTTCGACGGAGGATTTTTTTGATTGCAACGCCCAGGCCCCAGAAGAGTGCAGTGCACATGAAGGCCGTGACGAACAACACCGAGGTGAAACAGACCAGGACCCACATGAACCAGGACCCACATGAACAGTGCGACGTGCTGAGGCGCCGCTCACAGAGTACGCCGCCCAGGACATTCCTGAAGAAATTGTCACCAAATCGCCAACAACGAAGAACTGAAATAAAGCACGACCACACGAGGTGCAGAACGACTTGGTGTTCGTGGCAGCCACATACAATGATAATCATCATCACCAGAAAACCCCGATCGAAGAAAATACAATGCCAACGACGCACTGCAACACATAGCAGAAGCCCAATACCCAGAACTCCGAGGCGGACGAACATCCAGAACTTGACATAAGATCCACTAGCAGGATGCGCACACGCTAGAAGTGCACGCAGACCTTCACTCGAATTGAGTGCAAGACTGTGGCACACCCCAAACCCAAGTCACCACTCGACGTCGGACAAATCATCACGTTCCCAGTCTCCAAGGTCGAGCACAGCGTCGGGCAGCCAGTCCGCGGAGACGTCACCACCAGAGGCGCCCACCATACAGCGAGGGAATGGCGATGAACAGGATGCAGCCGAAGCGCCGAAGAGGTGACCTTCACCAGGATCCAGCGGGCCCAGCCCAGTGGGCGCCCATACGAGGGGCGGCAGCTGGCCGGCAGCGGGAACGCCAGGAGCCTTGATGGCAGCGGCCGTGCCTCCCGTAGCAGCTGCCGTGTGCGCGGCCTCGTCGACCTCCGCGTTGGCCGATCGGGGCTCCACCTCAGCAGCTGCCGCCTGCTCACCCACAGGGCCGTCCTCTGCGCGGGGGGGGCGAACCCCGCCAGAGGGAAACCTGATGCCAGCGACATCCCAGCCCTCCAGCTCCTTCACCGCCTCGGCCCGGCCCAGCTCCGCACAGGAGGAGGTAGGAGGGAGGAGGGAGGAGGGAGGAGGGAGGAGGGAGGAGGAGAAGACAGCAGTACCGCAGTTGCACAGCCTGCCGCACGGCCCAGGCGAGACGCCCAGCTCCTGGGGGGGCCTCTCGGGCAGCGGCCCCCAGCGTCTCCCGCACCTGGCAAGAACACCGCCGCAGCGCCTGCACGCAGGCCGCCCCGCGCCACGCCAGGGCGCGCCTCGAGCCGCGGCCCGTGCCGCACACGGCGCAGCACGGAGGTCGCCGTCCTCTCTCACCTTCTGGCCCTCGGGCCCCTCCACGGACGCCAAACGGCTCGGCGCGTCGCACCGCGACGAGCGGTGCCTTGAGCCGACCGTGGCTCTGCCACTGGTCTGCGTCGCCGGCCTAGCCGAGCGCCCAGTGCGAGCACCCCGGGCCGAGTGGCCACCAAGGGAGCGGTTGGCGGGCGAGGACCTTCTGCTTACCTCGGGGCTGCCTGGCGTCCGCGGCCGAGGCCGCCGCGGCTGGACGTGGCTCGGACTACACGGGACAGGACGCCGCCAGGGCGCGGTCGGGGGACATCGGTGGGCTCGGCCACACGGTGACTTGTGGCGGAGAGGGCCGAAGCCGAGCACGCGGGCCGTGGTCGCATCGCACCCGGCGCTCGGCAAGCCGCGCAAGTACCACGGGTCGCGTTCGATGGGCCAATGTTCCACCACCACTAGCATAGGCAGGACGGGGGAGAAGGGAGGATGGGGAGGTCCTCCTCCCCCTCTTCCTCCTCCTCCTCCTTCTCCTCCTCCTCCTCCTCCTCCTCCTCCTCCTTTTTGTCCTCCTCTTCCTCCTTTTCCGCCTGTGGTGGGGCAGGTTGGTGTGCCACTGGCTCGCGAGGATGGCGAAGCACCCCTCGAGGCGAGGGTGGGGCTGGGAGTCGGGCGACTCCGACTGACTCTTTCGGCTGGTTAGTGCACGAGCTGTGCCACTTCTACAGTCGGCTCCGCGTTCCTTAAGTGTTTCACAGCTTGCCTCAGGGTTTCCTTCTGTTTTCGATGGGGAATCGAAGGTTAACTTCTGGAAAACAGGGGCCTCGTTCCTTATTTAGGGCTCCTTAGGTCAAGGCCCCGACTGTACATGCAGTCTTGGTGACACAACCCGTTCTTCGGCAGGAGGCACATTGACTGCGTGCCATCGGTGCTACGGTTGTCTGTGCTTCTCTTCTGGCCGCACTGCGGCCCCAGCATCCTGTGCAACGCCTCAGGCTGCTTCTGATTCGGTTTGGGGCTCGAGCATCTCCCTCGGGCGCCCTGTTGATGGCACGTTTGCCGCAGGTCATGCCCCAAGGGGGCCGATGATGAACAAATTCTCCTCCTCCTCCTCCTCCTTCTCCTACCTATGGTAGTGGTGGTGGAAAATCGGCCCATCAACGTTCGCCCAGCCCAGACATCCGACGTCGTGTGGTTGGTTGTCAAGTGCTCTCCCGCCCCCAAGAAGGTCTGGACCCCTTCCCCGGGACTGGCGTTCCATCCCGAGTCGTTCTCCTCCGCTCTGCGCGAGGTGCTGCCCTGTGGCCGTCTTGTGCCGTCTCTTGAGGCCTCTTTCGACCATTCGGGCCGTGTCGGGGGTCGCCTGGCGGCGGCCTGGGTCGGCGCAGGCACCCGTTTGCGGCGCGAGAGCGCGAGCGTGTTGTTCTCGCGTTCGGGGCCTCGCGCTGAGCGCGGCTGCGAGGCGCGAGGCGCGAGGCGCGAAGCTGGGGCGACCCCGCTTCTAGACGACCCCCCGGAGGCCTACGCGGTGCAGAAGCACCTCGGGAAGATCGGGCCCGGGGAGTCGTGCGACGTGACTATCGTCCTGCAGGACCCGTGGTCCGGTGGCCGGCCACCCGCAGTCGGCCACGCGCAGAGGGGAGTCGGGGGAGGGGGGCCAGGCTCCTCGGAAGAACCCTGCACCTCAGAAGGCGCGGACCTTGTCTGTAGGTGTAAGACTGGCGCCTTCTAAGAAGCAGCCTCCTTCTAAGGAGCCTTCCCCCCCTCCCCACCCCGTTGTGCGCGCCGCCAGCTCAGGGCAGATGGAGCGCTGGGACGGCCACGCAGAACCTCCAGAGGCAAAGAAGCATCCCAAGTCTGCTGGTCTCTTACTTCAGGGGCAACAGTCGGTGGCGATAGGCATGGGAGGAGACGCATCGACCCCCGATCGCCCATCGATCGCCGATAGTGCTCTGATAGCCCCACCCGCCCAGGAAGGTGCGGATTCGCTATCGGGGGCCTATCGGCGATCTATCGGCGATGTATCGCCGATTCCATTACGATATTCCCCCTCCCTGTGCCAGTTCCCCCCCCTATCGTTGCCCCTCAGTGTGCTCCCCCGTTCCTACATGCATTGCCGAATGATTGGCGTGCTGCGTTTTCGTTCAGTGGCCGCCCGTGAACGCCTCGTCGCCACCTCGTGCGTCACCACATAGCTTGCACCACGTCGCTTCCACCACATGGCTTGCACATCCACTGTGCACAGACCCACTGCTTGGTGTCCA